GAGATAAGGAACATATAGGAAAAAATAAAAAGCATTCTTTCCTAGAAGAAAATATTTTGTTTAAAGATAAATAATTCAAGTACACTAAAATACGAAAGGCTGTACTATTGTAATCATTGCAAGGGCAAACATAGAACTGAAACTTGCCCATATTTAAAACATACAAAAACTAAAATAATATTGTAAAAAATGGCTCTAAATAGTGAGAACGAGAATCTTGTTGCTAGACTAATAACTGCAACAAATGCTTCTCTTAGATTGGAGGTAGAGGATTTGCGAAGGCAACTACAGGATTTAACACAGTCAACTACAGTCGTTGATTTTTAAATAGAAGTGATCGATCCACATATCAATTGTGATGACTTGAGGTGGTCAAGTCACTACCAGAATTTAATGGAAAACAAACTAAATACGTTAGATGGAGGGAATCAGCCAATAACGCATGGAGCTTATATGTAAGGAGCAGCCGTAGATATTTTGCTGCATTACCTATACTAAGAAATAAAATTACAAACGATGCTAACGACATTTTATCCAATCACGGTTCTTAATTTCGATGCCATTTTGGCACGACTCGATTTTGCTTACGCGGACAAGCGACCAGCCCATATTATCGAACAGGAGATGAGCATTTTGCGACAGGGCACTTATTCAATTATAGAATACTACAAGTATAATAAGGTTAATGAAACATTAACTTTACTTATTAATAAAATGATAATAACTTACGGATCGGATAGTGCCGTAACTAAAGAATTAAATGGAAAAATAGGCGGGATGCGTTGCGTATATTTATAACAGGTCTAAATGGAAATTTAGCCAATATATTATTTTCACTATCACCAAGTGATTTGCCAAATGCGTTAGCAAAAGCACAAGAATTAGAATCAAATAATATGCGAGCAATTTTCGCATCACAATTCGGGAAAAATCCGAATTATTACAGACAAGGTATCAATAACGGAAATTTCAATAATAATTTACGGTTTCTACAAACCCAATTTCAAAGAGGCTACAACCAAAGGCCCTTACAACAAAACATTCAGGCAAGACCTATCCCAATGGATGTCGATCCAAGTATTCGAATCCAAAACCGACCACATTATAATGTAAATAATAATGTACAGAACACAAGAATAAATACTACAGATAAACGACCATATGCCAGCGCACAAATAAGTAATCAACCACCAAATAAAACATAAAGGATAAATAATATTAAAGAGGGTAATTTTTTAGATCAAAACTAACTCTGCCATATATTTTCTTATATGACAGGGTGAATGGCCTAAACTTTAAAATACTACTAGATACGGGAGCAACAAGTTGCTATATAAAAGCAGGAATATATGAGAATAAAAACGAATTAAATATATATAAAAGAGTAAAAACAATTAATGGATTTTCGATAATACTTTATTATCATTTTATTACTCTATTTGGTGAAAGACAAATTTTTTACGAAATCGAAAATTTAGAAGCAGACTTTTTAATTGGATACAAATTTCTGAAAGAAATTAATGCAGTGATCAACTTGAAAGAAAAAAGTTGATAATAAATAATGAAAGGAAGAAGACATATTTAGCTTAGGAGATGAATCTAAGTAACATGAGATTAAAGGAAATTTAAAAGATGAAAACATTAAAGGAAATATAATTACTTTAAGAGCAAAAACTCCTAAAGCGCCAGCTGAAGATTTATACCAGCACAATGAATACAATAAAAATAAAAAATTCAATTATAAAAAATATAATGTGGAACAAAAAAGTTCTATAACGCCAGCCGATAATAATACCGGTAATAAAAATTAAAAATATACTGTGGAACGAAAAAGTTCTACAACGCCAGCCGATGGTAATACCGGCAACAAAAATAAAAAATTCAATTATAAACAAGTAAGGAAGGGCTAAGTTCGGATGTAACCGAACATTTTATACTCTCGCAAAGTCAAATAGTATACTCGTTTGAGATTTCTTTGTGGATTGTGCTGATATTTTCGGTAAAGTCAACTATACACTGGGGTCCAAATTTCAGTACTAGGGGCTTAAACAGTTGTTCGATTATTAGATACTTTTGCACAAGTGGCATACTTTAATCATTATTCACGCAAATTTATGCCGATAATCATTGTTGCTGATTTGCATATGGAAGTGAAAATCAGATGGAATTTAAAATGTGTTATATGGAAATAGGCGTGAGTATCATCGCCTATTATGTAATAGTAATAACCAAATTTGGTTGAAATCGGTTAGAGAGATCCAAGATATGGGTTTTCACCTAAAAGTGGGCGTGCCACGCCACTCTAATTTTGAAGCGGTTCTATAATCATCTCATACCATTCCAATTAAAATTTAATGCTCTGGTGTTTAGTGCTTGATTTATCGCCTTTTAGTAGTTTTTACAGTACCGTTATATGGGAGTGGGCGGGTTGACGTTTCACTATTTTCACACCGTCATAGAGTGCTAAAATCATTTGTTCCAGTGATTTTTTATTATAGCTTATGGCATAGGAGATATCACATTAAACATTAGAGCGGGACGACGCCCACTTTAAAAATTTAAACTGCAGATGCCCTCCCTAATTATCCTGTACCAAATAAAGTCTTGTATCTTTTGGGAGCTTATAATCAATTATTTGTTTTGATAATGGCGTTTTTGGGCGTGGCAGTTGTCCGATTAGCCCATCTGCAATACCAAGACCGCAGTCCGTCTTACGGTACCAAGAAACATGTTACCAAGTTTCATAAAGATATCTGAATTTACTCTTAAGCTTGCAGAGGCGGACGGACAGACAGTCACCGGATTTCAACTCGTCTCTTCATCCTGATCATTTATATATAGTATATAACCTATCTAACTCGATATTTTAGGTGATACAAACAACCGTTAGGTGAACAAAACTATTATACTCTGTAGAACAGGTTGCGAGAGTATAAAATAATAGGAGAGAAATAAGCTAAAGCCTAGATACAAGAAACAAATAATAAAAGAAGTTTAGGGAAAAGTTCAATTAACTACAGAAATCGAATAGTACATAAAGATAATATTAAATCTTCAATAATATTTTCAGAAAATGATACCCTTAATATTTCTAATATTAATTGTTTAAACAATGACGGACATTG